TCTTTCCCTTGAGTCAATACTACAAAAATCCTCGAACAGCTTCTCCTGGTAATGAAGGCCTTAAGAAGGTGTTTGATAAAAAGACAGACCTTTACGTAGGGATTTACAGGATTTTTTTAAGCTGATGATACTTAAGAAAAGCAATTATTTTCAGTAATTTGTTATACTCTGAGAGGCTCTGATAGGCTGGCATTATGGTTTTTTATGCAGCCATAAGACAGCTCTTCCTTAACAGCCTCCAAACATGTTAATTGTGTTGGATAGTCACATTGTGTGATATTGTAAGGCCCATGACAGTGATAGCTGAATGCCCTGTCCAGCGTATCTCTGCTGAGCACAGTGTTGGAATAACAATGTATTAAATGAATATTTCGCATAGTAAAGTTTGCTGTAATCCTTAATGTCCTTAACAATTCTGTATTTTATTCCTGGAAGACTTTCTGTAGCTATTTTAAAAAGGCAGTCACCGTGGAATTTGACTAAAGGTTTTCTCAAGTCACAAACATCATGCTAAAATACACTTACTTCTACACATACACAATATAGCATGTTCTTTACTTTACAATGGTGGATACTGGCATGTTAGGTGAAGATAGGCCGCTCAAACTCTTCTTCTTCACCTTCTCATAACTTCTGTAAATATTCGAAGTCTAGCCTCTACAGCTGAGCTCGCTGTGCCAAAGCCATCGTACCCCTGTCCTGGTGACTCCCTCTACCTCGGAGGCTCCTGGCGACAGCAGAACGCAGCACTGATAGGACTACGCAGGCTCAAACATGAGAGCAGGATAAAACGGATTGATCTTTACAAGACCTTTTACGGTGGGTTTCACAAACTTGCCACATTAATTTTCCAGGAAGTTCATGTATCAGTAACAACCCCATGCATCAGCACAGGCTTGGGGTGGACCTGCTGGAGAGCAGCTCTGCAGAGAGGGACCTGGGTGTCCTGGTGGACGACAGGTTGACCATGAGCCAGCAGTGTGCCCTGGATGCCAAGAAAGCCAATGGGATCCTGGGGTGCCACTAGGAGGAGTGTGGCCAGCAGGTTGAGGGAGGTTCTCCTTCCCCTCTACTATGCCCTGGTGAGGCGCCATCTGGTGTACTCTGTCTAGTTCCGGGCTCCCCACTGCAAGAAAGATGAGGAGCTACTGGAGAGAGACCAGTGGGGGGCTACAAGAATGATGAGGGGACTGGAGCATCTCTCCTATGAGAGGCTGAGGGAGCTGGGCTTGTTCAGCCTGAGGAAGAGAAGGCTGAGAGGGGACCTAATAAGTGTTTATAAATATCTCAAGGGTGGGTGTTAAGAGGATGGGGCCTTTTCAGTGGTGCCCAGCGACCCGCCTGGACAAGGTCCTATGCAGCCTGCTGTAGGTGACCCTGCTTCGGCAGGGGGGTTGGAGTAGATGACCCACAGAGGTCCCTGCCAACCACTACCATTCTGTGATTCTGTAATTCTGTGATTCTGCTGACCAGGTCTGTTGCCTACTCTTGCACCTCTCCTCTGGGCCGCTATGATATTGGGCATAAATATTTAGGTCATAGCAATGCTTAGGTCATAGTGATACAGGGCAGAAATGCTAACGTCGTAGTAATATAGCAACAACTGCTCCAGGAGGCAGCGTGCCTCTCGGGGCGCCAGGCAGATGCCTCCAGGCCCCCGTGCTGGACCATGTCCATTTTTCAGCCTGGGACTGAGTGAGTGAGGAAACACCTGGGTGCAGGAAAAGCGTTTTAAAACTGGTGCCTAGTTTGTAGTAATAAATACCAATAACTGGGATCAAGGCTACTGAAAGGCACTTCAGACAATTTAGCATCTGCCTTCTCCCCCAGTTCAGGATGGTCCTTTCTGTCCCCTGGCATTTCCCTTACCCACTGCCTTTCCCTCAGTACACAAACCTTAAGAGGCAGCAGTTGCTAAGGCTACAAGAGGCTGCAGTAAATCTGTGTGCGTATATGGGGAGGGCTGGATAAAGGAAAAGGATGAGAGCAGAAAATTGCTTGTTTCGAGTGACTGGAGAAGCAGCCATGGAGAGAGGTGGGAGTGGATGCAGGGCTAGACAAAGTGCAAGTCTACAGCTGTTCTCACATGAGCACTTCAGCCTGTAACTTTTAACCCCTGTGTGCATACATGTGCAGGTGTTCGTACCTGTGTGCCCATTTGCTCAGGAAACTAACACCATCAGCAGAAAAAAACCAGGTTTTTTTCCATGATAGAAGCACTCCTTAGTGAATGAGCAATTGGGATTTGTCAATGGCATAAATGACTATTAAAATCTTAACCATTGAAACACTAATTTTAGAATAATTCTTGCATTTCTGCAGCATTGGTTGATGAAAAGCAAATCACAGCCTTGATTTCACTTCCAGAAGATTTCGGAGAGCCTGGCTCTCTTCTGCAAAATACCAAAGAGTCTGTTGTCTCTGAAATACGCCTGTGTGCAATGAAGCACACCGTTTTCTCTAGCCCCATATGTTTTTTTGTCTCCCTTTCCCTGGGGTACAATAACTGGGCGAGATTGTGGTGATCAGACACACAGTTGCCACATATGGACCAAAATGCAGAAAGTAAAACACTGCGAGATTAGCATCTCCCCGGAGAAGGAGCAGAGGCAGGGTCTGGAATGCAAAGACGAAGTGAGGGAGAGCATCCTCCTGCCCAGAATCTTTTTGCAGAGATACTAGCAGTGAGTTATTAAAGCAAAATAACAGGATGCAAAGTTCAGAGCAGCAGTACCTTATTATCAAGCTGAAAGCATAAAAATACGCCAAGAGATGGTCCTGATTAGCTGGGTTAAATGCTTGTTCCATCTCCACCGAGCAAAATACTAGATTAGCTTCTACACAAGCAGAGATGCCTCATGAGATTTTGACACTCAAAACAGGTTTCCTTGGTTATTAGTTAATAAACCTCAAGCAGCTTCTCCTTTATACTCATCTAAAAGCAAGAGGGAGAACCAGATCACATAATGGCCTGAAGCATGGATGCATTTTATTTTCATGTCGAAGACAGCGTCTTAGTGTTTAGTTAATACTGCCTGCAATACAAACACACTGGGCGCACTGCAGTTGATGGGAGTGCTGGGAATAGCTCCGAGGGCAGCGCTTGGCCTTTACTCCTCTGTACTCCGTCTAGCGCGGGCAGCATCCCCTGATCCGTGATGACAGGCGA